TGCTACAGGTATTTCTTCCACTGTTTTCCTGTGATGCTTTCTTAGTACGGATTAACTCACATCTGCATCACAAGATGCAAGTAATGCAAGTACAAACACAGTCCCTTTCCATGCTTCTCTCCAGAAAGTGCTGCGCATTAACAGAAAATATTGCAGGCAAACCACAGTTCTTTTCATTCTGCAGCATTGGAACCAGTGTCTAGGAAAGAAAAAAGGCAATGTAATACACACTATCCCACAGACTTCAGTTAAAGAGAACAAATGCCATTCTTTAATACCTTCCTCAAACTCAAAAACATCCCCTCAAGCCTTTTAATATAGCACATGCTCTGTACCTACCCAAATCCCTTCACTATATAGCTATAATGTGAGGCAAGGACTGCTGGTGTACTTTCACCTCATTTAATGATACCGAAAACAGCCACTATAAAACTTCAAGGCTGTGCATATACATCACTTGCCAATGTGGTACCAAAAATGGAAGAGGCTTTGCTCTAACTCTGTGTCACACACTTTACTGCAGTCAATGACAAGCATATCTTACTAAATCACATGATCTGCCAAAGAGAAAAGTTAACACATCCCACAGCAAAAGCTCCTATGGAATCTGTGCTACTGCAGTATATGTATCATGCATTTTTAAATACCTGTGAGGATGAGCACGACCTTCATAAAATAAATGAGTGCAATACTCTGTTCTGAACTTTTGTCAGAAGTGCAATTTCTACTATTACCATTGTCATTGCTTTTTTGTTCTTAGCACTGTGGAAAAAATACTGGTCTTTGGATAAAGTAGAAAACACATCAATGTTTACTATGAGTTTTTTAAGCAAGTCTTTTTGTGGAAAAAGAGCTGAAATTTTAGTAACAACTTTAAATCACCCAGTTCTTTAAACCTTATCTGCATACATGTGAGTGAATATGTCCAATAAGCTGAAAGAAACAGTAGCTAACAGCAGAGGCTGAACAAACGACAAGTTCTGACAGCTATCTACAACTACAAGTTGACATGACCCCTATAATCATGCCAGAATCCAAAAAGTCATGAAGAACTTGTTTTGTGGGCTAGCTTACACATAACTACAGCCTTTTCCATTCTCAGTTCTTCCTTTTAGCACCACCTCTAAGAATAAAACAACGGGCACCTTTTCACACACCAGTGACATTCTGTCAATCAATGGTTGGAAAAGTTGTGAAGCAGCTTGCCACAGTAGTCACTAAATGATTATTTTTTTTTCAGCAAAGAACTTCAAGCAACACTGACAAAAGCAGTCACTGACAAATCCAGTCACACGGCTGGGAATAAACTCCTATAAGCAGTTACATACAGGGGGCCCATTGAGCCAGACATTAGTTGCACCACGTGATCTGCCATGCCATCAAAAGCTTCCCATGTGCATGGGTCCCACGCTATCAAATCCAGCAACCAATTGCTCCAACAGTTATCACTGCTTGCTCAGACTGATGCTTTGATGATGATTTGATTTCAATAAAATATGGTGCTGTTCTAGCAAACTGGTTAATACTGCAAAAATCACTATGCAGGAACTCAAACCAGATTAATTCTGACTTTGCACTTGCACAACAGGAGTCCACAATCTCTCACACGTTCCTATTTCAGTGCTTATGAGTTAGGGAAGCATCCAGCTGGCTTCTATTTAACAAATGATGAGAAGTGAAACAGAGTTCAGAGCCCTACTTTCACCTGAAAAATACAATCAGTATAGCTTTAAGTAGAGGATCAATCAAAGCTTTCTACAAATGAAAAGGTCTAGTGCCTGTGCTTATTTATATGCTATTTCATACTTACTTTTTCCATCACATGCTACAATTTTCACTTTGTCCACTTTCACAAGCTCAGTGACTTCCCTAAATTCAACATCATTCAGTACAAACGTCCATACGTTGTCACAGAACCTGTATGTATTCAGAGATCCCTTTGAAAAAAACAGAAGATATTTTCTACAGGTGGCATCCCCAAAATATCAGAAAATATGACATTTACTCTTTACAGAACTACTTACCTTCTAGAACGACAAATCAGCTTGCCATAAAACCAACTATGAACCTGAATGCATGCAAACACACAAGCAAGCAACCGGGGAAAACTGTTATTTAAATGCCCTCCAGTGGCTGAAGTTTTCAAGGCCTTTCCATGTATCTTTTCAATGCAGGGATGTTACACTCTATGAAATGGAAGTTTCAGAGGTATGCTAAAAAGCTTTCTCACGTGCACTAACGAACCATGTAACTTACATTAGTACCAAAAAAGATTTCTTAAAACCTGAGGAATATGAGCAGTGATCACAGAATATATGAATTCTGCAATTGTTTCTAAGAGAAAAAACTAATCAGTGTGACATAACAGGGCTTTCCTACACGTGGTGCATTCCAAAGGTGTTGACATGCACACCTTTTGGCCTTTATCTTCTCATATTTTAAACTGATTCTTTTGGAACTTAAGCTCCACGTGAAATATGTTTGTTTTGCATCTTCAGGACAGTTTGCTACACCATGTATTAAAAAGAATTATGTGAGGGAAAAAAACACCAAAATAAAAAAAAAAAAATCTAAAATCCTACAAGCATGCTTTATTTCTGCATTCTGCATAGACTGCAGAGAAATACTCAGGACAACTTTTCCCTCAATACTACAATCAAATTGACATTTAATAATTGGTTGGCTATCTGCCATTAACTAAAGAGGGTGGCTGTGAAAAAAACAAGTTTTTCTGTGAGACCTACAGCAAACAATATAAAAGTACACCTGCATCTCTCTAGTCTCTTTTCCTGTCAGAGCTGTGGCTGAAAAACTGGCTTTATCTCACTTCTGCAGAATACAATTCAGTGGAGCAAAATTCTCCCCATCTGCAGGACACCAACAACAGCAACACTACACATTTCAGCTTTTCCTTTTTCCTCTGCTTTCATCCCACCAAATTCTTGTTTCCAATTTCTGCATTCCTTCAAAAATTCCCCAACAGACCAGGGAGATAATAAGCTTCACAATTAAATACCGAACATACAAGTAGGCAGCCATTATTTCAGAATCATAAAGAACCTTTTGAAATCTCTGCTCACAGCACACAGTTTTTAATGACATTCTGCATCAACACTCAAACCACCATTGCTTACCAAGAACTGTGACAGGCAGTTATCTTACCCTGAAATTGACTCTGTTCCTGACTCGTTGTGCCAGTGCCGAATTTATAGCTTTATCAAACTGAAGTAGCACCTGAAGGGCCAGCTGAGGAGTGATTTGCTGTGACTGAAGAGATGTAAAAACAAGTTTTGAGTTGCTTCCGCTTTCAGTCAAAAAAGAAAAAAAAGAAAACAGAACCACACTAAAAACTAAGAATATCACAAGAAAGTTCGTGGGAAGAGGTCTCTAAAAGAATAGCTTATAGAAGCATTACAGAAGTATCATCATAGAATGGTTTGGCTTGGAAGGGACCTTTGAGATCACCTAGTTCCACCCCCTTGCTATAGGCAGGTACATCTCCCTCTAGTCCAGGTTGCTCACAGCCCCATCCAGTTTGGCCTTCAGTGCTTCCAGGGAGAAAGCATCCACAACCTCACTGAGCAACCTGTTCCAGTGTCTCACCACCCTCACAGTAAAGAATTTATTCTTAATATCCAGTCTAAATCTACCCTCTTCCAGTTTAAAACTATTTCCCTTTGTCCTGTTACTACCTGCCCTTATAAAAAGTCCCTACCAGCCTTCCTGTAGGCCCTCTTCTGGTATTGGAAGGCCACCAAAGTAAGGTCTCCTTGGAGACTTCCCCAGGCTGAACATTCCTAGCTCTCTCAACCTGTCTTCATAAGGGAGGTGCCCCAGCCTTCTGATCGTCTTCGTGGCCCTCCTCTGGACCTGCTCCAACAGCTCCATATCCCCTTATTTACCTTTGTTTTCCCACCTTAAGCCCGGGAGAAGAAATAACGTGCTAAAAGATTTTTTGTGCTACACAAAGATTGCTGCTGCTTAGTTGGAAACCAGCAGAGGAGGAAACTGATTGCAGTGTTCCAGAATAGCCTGGCTATAGCTTTACTGGACCATACAACAGGGGAGAATGCCACATCAGAAAAGGCTTCCATCTACAACGTTCACTTAAAGGCTCCCATGTAACGCAAATCGCTTTTGATCTCAATAGGTAAACATTCTGAAAGCTGAGACGCTGCCCGCAGCATGGCTATATCCGGCTGTATCTGCACCGCCGCTCCCGGCAGCCGCCTCGAGCCCGGCGCTCGCACCTGGATGAGCTCGTCCAGACTCTCCTGCAGGCTGTTGCCCAGAGTGGTGTTCCGGTACAGCTGATAGGCCATGGTTCCTGCGGGGCGCTGGCCGCCTTACTGACCATCCACGGCTCGGGACGCCTGCTGTATCCTTGCTCTCATTAATAAACGAGGGAAAAAAACCTACAAAACACAACACGGCCTTTAGCTGCCCAGTACACGGCAGGAGCCGAGAGCCCGGGTGGCAGGGCGGAGCCGCACCGGCACGGCCCGAACGCGACACGCGGGGCCGGCCTCATCCGTCTCCCGTTCGGCTGCCGGGCTGGCCGGCCTCCAGCCCCCGGCGCAGGGTGCCCACTGCGGAACGGGGCGCTCCGGCAGGACAGGGAGCCGCAGCCCAAGCCCCGACCCCGCGTCTCCCCGAGGCCGCCCGCCAGGCCTGGCCCCGGCTCACCACCGCCCGCCGCTGCCGCCTCACCCGCTCCGAGCGGCCGGAAGAAGCACTGGCCGCGCTGACCGCCGACCCGGAAGCGGAAGTGCGAGCGCTGGCTCCACCCCCAGGGCTGCGCCCCGCCGCGGCCTGAAAGCCACCGGAGGCCGGGCGTAGCGGTGGGGTTGGGAACGTCCTCAGCAAGGCGCTGCGTTTCATTGCGCCCGCAGCGCTTTCTGCACCCACGTCACATTCATGCTTTCCAAGAGGGGGCAGGACAAGACTCCTGAAACTTAAGTCAGCATACAGTCCTAAGTAGGAAAAGAAAACATGCAGACCTCTTTCAAAAATATTTATTGCATTCAGCATTTACTTTTTCCTAATTAAAAGGTTCCGATAAGTGTGCACAGCTGGCACAGTCAGACACGTTCATCACATTACTCCATGACATCTTGGAAAGCAAACAGAAAAGAAGGAATACTAATACAAGAGGTAGGTGAAGAGCCTTGTATTCACACAGCTTTATACAAAAGGGACAAAGGAAAATACAATCGTGTCTGCAATGACTACTAAGAGTCAATTATTTAAGCTGGTTATAGAATGATTCATGGTTTGGCATAACTGCTACAGCTCCATTTAGTTAAAAACTGCAAGTTTGCCACACTGTGCAGACCAATAATTGCGTTCATAGACAATTTTTAAGCCCGTTGAAGGGCTCTTTCCCTTTTTCTATACAGGCCTTGTTCAGATGCTGAGTAAGAAGCAACGCAGAACTACAGAGCCACTGGGAAATCAAACACTTATCTTCTGTGAACAAATTTTAATGTGGAACTTCATGTCACAACTAATAGTCAGCCCTGAGTAAGCCAGAGGAAGGTCCATGGTAAGGTACAGATTTCCCCTTTTTTTTTTTTAAATTAATTGAAAAAGCCAGTTGTTCTTTAGATAATTTAAAAAAACAGAAAAAGATGTTTAAACAAATAATCTGGGCTATCTGAATCACAAAACAAAAGTGATCTGAAATAGTTTAGCAAAATTAAAGCTTTTTAATTCATCTCAGTCATGCTTGAATGGAATGATGAAAACACAAACAGAACTGCACTCTCTTTTACTTCACAACTGCCCTCATTCCTGTTAGCTGAATGTAGAGAACAAGAGGTGACAGGAGAAAGTGTGGTTCAACTTACAATTCTGATGTTAGGAAAGCTGCAAAATGTCTTTCCAAATATATTTAAATATTCCTTATATAAAGTGCTACTTTGACTAAAATCGGGTATCCTTGAAAAGTATCATTAAAGCACACTTAACAACCAGCATGAAAAAAATCCTCTCGAGAATGACCTGCATCCACAAGGACTGAATACATATTTTTCTCCAAAATCCTTCTAAGTCTTCTGTGGTTACCGAAAGCACACAAGCAATTATCCCTTCCCCCTCCTCCTCACATGAGGCTTTTAAGGGAGACTGGAATGACTTGAGAATTAACGTCACCTTCAGAGACAATAGCTTGGGTAAGAGATGCACTTAAGCCATCTTTCTACATAATAAATACAATATAAGTCTGCAAGATACACAAATAAAGTCTGACACTGAAATACACCTTTCTCCAAGAATCTTACTGCTCATTACAGATTTAGTTTAAAACCATCTGTTCATGATTTAGTTCAATTGTTTTTTTCCCCCACAGTTATTAGACTTTCCAGTCCATGACACTGGTGAGGCTGTAACTAGGCACTAATGCCCTCTTCTCCTTTTGACACACTGTGAGGTCATTTCATAAGATCCCATTACCACCAACGTTTCACCCGACTTTGAAGTCTGACACAAATTTCCTGTTGAATCATCCTAATCTGCCATTAGAGCATTAAAGTGTGTGAAGCAAGAAACTTGCCAAGACATGTTAACCCAGCTAAGACTAGCTGTATGCAATTGGGAATAGAAATACTGTTTTCAATGCACAGTTCCTAACAGCAAGTAAATACTCTTCTTCACTTGTCCTCTGGAAAGGAAGAAGAAATATGCTAAGCTACATAAAGTTACAAAGAAGTTACATATTACTCTAACTAGTTCTAAGCTTTACGGAACTGAAAATTCTAAACTAACTGAGAATGTGTATTTTAAAATTCCAAAACTTCAAAGATTTCTGTATGATTCAGCACTAAATTTCTATGGATCCCTCACCGTTACTTTCCAGTAGAACACAGCTTTGCCACGCTACATAAAACTATCAAGAGTACTTATGCAATCCAGAGTCTATCCACATCAGTTTTTAATGACACTTTCTCCAAAATACCTTTGTCACTTCTGAATGTTTCTCCCGTTGTAAAACTCGTTTTATACAACCTCACATCCACACATACAGAGATCACCATTTCAAACAACTCCATTTCAGTGTCACACAGCAATAACAAGGTATCCATTAGCATGTATATATACATACACACAAACTCATGAAACCTCCAAACTGAAGGTGAATTAGTGACTCCAACTTCTATCAGCAGAGCTCAAAACATATTCCAGCAACACAAATTCTACCTCTAGGAAGAAGTGCATAAGGTGAACCCCCTGTAATACTGTTACTTTTCACAAAGCAATTCAGAAAGAAATAACTTTAATAAAGTATGAAATTCTAACTCTAACGTTTTTAAATATTAAAATATATTAAATTATTCTATATATTTAAAAATATAAAGTTGACAAGTTAATTCGAGTTCAGGATAACTTTGGGACCTCTGCTTTTTGTAAACATCCCCCTCATCATTAAATGATGAGCTGGAAAAGGTCAGAGGAGAATCGTTCTTTAGTACACAAGATTCTCATGCTGTGTATATTTTCAGGACAGAACAACTGTTTTACAGTGTATTCATTCACAAAAACTAATACTAAAGAAACAGACTTTTAGGAAAGTTTTTCCAAAAGAAATAGAACTACTGCAACATGAAACTGCAGAACCACTCAGCCACCAGAAGAAAAAAAAAAAAACAACCAATAATCTTATCATTTGAGAATTCACCCTAAACAGAGGACTGTCTACTCTAAAGGATGCTATATACATAGGAGGGAAGGGACAGGTACTCACAGAAGTTCAGTTGTTCCATTATAAACACGACTTTACTGAGAAGAATACTTCTTTGAACTAGGAAGAATTTGAAACAAGATGAGTGGATTGGAATGCTTAGCATCTACCCTAGGACTCACACAGAATCAGCAAAGACTGGGATGGTTTCCAGGTTTGTCTGTTCATATGTGTTGCATTGTGGAAGCATTAAACAAATTGTGAAAGTGTCCACTTCACTAACTTTAATCCAGGTCAACATCAAATTTGGAAGAGGAAAAAAACCTTAAAATGAAACGTTCACATTTGTGTTCTGCTTTCAAAGCAGGATCCAAACATGATGTAATAGATTCAAGGCAATTTGAAATCAATATTACCTGAAAGAGAACATCCTACATATTAATCTCTTTGAAACCACAGTACAGAAGGTAGCATAAGTACCAAGACCTTGAGATGAAAGCCTCTGAATCACAGACAAACTCCCAGAGACATGGGCAGTTCATCTTTATCTGACATGAGTATCTGTTCCCGGACCATTATGTGTATCATTAGAGATTCTACATGAAGTGGCCATTAATAAATGTTGACCATGGAACTAGCTAAACTGCCACTAATCCATGCCAGGTATTAATCTAGTTGAATGCATTTTTTTTTTTTTTTTGAAGTTCAAGACAAACGTAGAACACTAAATGAAATTGACATTTTAAAGACAAAATCACAAGCATATAAAAATATCTGAAGATTGAGTATTTGCTAAAACATTTAATTGCTCAGCTCCTGAATGGATTCATTTGTGTGCATCTGTCCTTACAGGAAAACAGCAATGCTCAAGACACTTCACAAACTTTTACAGGCTATCAGTCAGTGCCTAACTGTTGCCCTGGAATCCAAGAACGCTTTTTGTATAGGCAACTTTACTACCCTTATGGGATAAGGAGGAAACCTTTTATATTGTTGTTTGTTTTTTTTTTTTTTTGGTGAAGTTAATACTACTATCAGGTGCCAAGCCAAGAGCTTTAGAAATGGATGCTGATTTACAAGGATGACACAGTAATAGTAAGAGTCCCCCAATCTCTGCACACAAGTGATATTATGGGTAAAATATTTATGCCACTCTCAAGCTCTACTGAAAAATAACCAGAATTACTGGTGATAACTGATATTTATCCACAAAAAAAAAAAAAAAAAAAAAAAACCACACAACCCAGAACAAACTCATTTCATCCTTGTAGCTGAACTAGCCTTCATTTACTGAAGCAGAATCTGAAATTTGCAGCTTAAATTTACACAGGTCTGATATCAGTCACTTACACAGTTTAGTTTCCACTGCAGCTGAGGCTTAAACCCTCTGGCCAACAGACAGGAATTCAGAGAACTCCAGATCTGTGTTCTGAGAAGTGGACTACAAGACAAAGCTCAAGCTCACTCTAGTGAGGTAAATGAGTACTGCTTGTATTAGGTGTGAACAGAAATAAGCATCTCCACGCATATAGTAGACTACGTTATGTGATTGTTAATTTTCAAACAAATTAAGGTTTCTCTGACAACCAAGAAATGCACTTGACCATTTAGAGCAAAAACAGATCACGCGCTTTATACAATAACAAGTAGTTTATGGCCTCGCCTACCTGCAAATGAATTCCTTCAGCAGGTACACAACGTATTGCTCAAAGTCATAAAAATATATATTATCTTTCCTTTAGCATTTAGATATATAAATATTTTACTGAAGAACATGCATCATTTAGATAAACAATTGTAAGAACATCCTCTAAACATGGGGTTCTTTGACATTTGGCCGTATAAAAGGATTACACAAAGGTAGCTACTCAAATCAAGACAAACCAATACAGCAGTGAAGAGTCCATTGTGTGCCAGTCTAAAGTTAAGCACCTCTTGCAACAAGTTATGTTATATATACACACAAGAATGCATCATAAATGAAGAAAATAGCATAAATCCATCCGTATATTCTTCAGTCTTGTTCTGTCTCTCAACTTACTGTTCACTTTTCTGCTCTTGTTTTCCATTCAGCTCTTGGTCAACTCTGCTTAGTAAAGAAAACAGTGATGTTAGAACTGTATTAAAAACAAATTTAGTTCGCTTATATATTACGCAAAACTATTAACAGAAAAAGGTGAAAGCTCTTGCATGGAACAAGGTTTAGCATGTAAATATTGAATAGTTAAGATTTTTATTAAATGCAGTTACAATAAGACGTTTAAAAAGTCTGTTTTCTTACTTCCCCCTCAAAATTGATTAAAATTGTTAAGAAGCCATTAAAGTAAGCATAGCATTTGAAAAGCACAAGTACATTTTGACTGCACAGCAAGAAAAAGGTTCTGTACTCTTACTAATAAATACAAGCAGGAACACAAGTTCTCAGTTAACAATACTATTAGGAGCTGCTACCTGATGAACTCATACACTGCAATATTAGCACAGAATTTTCTTCAATTTTAAGTAACTAAGCCAAGAAGGTAACAGCAAAAACTTAATTAACAAGAGTTGAGTGGCTCCTTAATTGCAGTACTTTCCATCAAATTATAAGACTCCTTTGACTACCCAGGAAAAATTCATTTCTGAGGAGCTTCTGTATCTACCTTGGGCCACTGAACAACATGTTGCTTTGCAGAAAGCAGGGGATGGCTCACAGCGCTGCATGAAACGTACTTCTCATCTTTAGAAGAACTTCTCATCTTTAGATCTTTAGAATCAACTACACTCTTAGCTATATCTTCTGGAAAATAATGGAGATCACTTAACTTTAGAACCAATCATAGTCCCAAAGCAACAGGCTCAGGATAAGTTTGTCTTCTAACAGCTGAACTGACTAGCCTATCTGTTCAGTCTCTCCAATGATAGCCAGCCACTTTCTTCAAAGTGATTAAAACAATGACAACTCTTCCAGGTCATGAACCCATAAAAATAGGAGGCAGATGTTCTATCTTTTACAGTTTTATGAACTGCACCTAACACACATGGATTCAGTAAACCTGGAGCAGTGGAATTTAGAAACATTCCTAATTAAGGAACAGTTTACCCGCACAGCATGCTGCTGCAACTCATCCCTGTCCTCACTGCAGTAACTTAGGAAAGCATATTTTGACATGACTTGTAGAATTATAGGAAGAATTATAGGAGAAAATATGGTAAGCTAATGCAAGATGGCTACACACAGACCTATAGCTGGCAATATAAATCCACAGTATCACACTCTAGCTTCCAAAATGACATGTACATAGCCAAAGAATTCCTACTGCCATCCACAACACTCTTCATAAACAAACATCAACATGTCTCCTTTCCCATATTACAATGCCTACAGCTGCTTTCAACACAGTATCTCACAACCACTTTGTGCCTGTGATCTTTCCTGTCCACTTCAGTAGTAAGTTTTGAAATAAAACTTTTGTGAAAAGTATTGGTAGTACAAGTATCAACATTGACAGGGATGCTAAAGGTGGGTTTCTTAAGTTCAGCTTTCTTAGAAATTAAGGTTACAACACCACAGGATTCTCTTAATGGAGTAATTCATAGTGAAGTAGCTTCACGTGCAAGTTTTCAGAGAGAATTATTTTTTTAATTTTCATTTCACTGTTTCTTTGGTCATTATTCAAGTTAGACAATAAGCTTCCCTGAACAGTTACACACACGGAAGAGTAGGCAAATAAAGTGAAGTTAATAACAGAACACTCTAGTACATTTGTTAGTTATACAGTAAAAAGTAAAAGCAAAAAAAAAGTTATCACAGCTATTAGGATAGCTTGAATGATTAGCAAGAGATTGAAAGTTTGCAAAGTGAAAACCTAATGACTGTTACCAAGGAATATACACACTGCAAATACAAACAGCACTAAAAACATTAAATTGCATCTGTGCAAGTTAAAAAAGTAGTTAATATGAAACTAAATACATATTAGAACTTCCTCCACAGTTGTGCCTCTGCTGCGTACTACAGCTTAGCACCTAAAAACAGCTCTTTAGACATCACTTGTTAGAAACAGTGAAACAACTGAATCAGTTCATACAGAAGCATGCTTTTGCCTCTTGAAAATGTGGTTAAGAATCCACACACACCCCTTAAAACTCAGAATCACATTTAATAGTAGACACTATTTACAAATACGTGAGTTTTCAGATGTTACTTTCATGCATAAGAACTAGGTCACTAGTGCTTGTTTATATTTACAAATGCTTATTCCTTTACACAAGCCAATCATCTGGGAGTTAGTTGCAGTGCAAATAGTCTTATCTAGATGCAACCCTCATCAAAACATGAATATACCTTGTTTGTTTCTTTCTAAACTTTTCTTCTTCATACCTTGGTGGGGAAAAGTTTGATTTCAGTAAATATACAAAGGCCAAATTCAATAGAAGCTACAAACAGCTATTACTGTCAATATAGTTTGTGGAAACATGCCAAGTTTTTAAATGAAAAAAGCAAAAAAAAAAAAAAGTTTTGCATCTTCAAGATAATTAATATTAAATTTTAACTACCAGAGCAACTTCCTGTACAATATTTATCCATCGCTAAAGTTTTAAGTCTATACTCTTAATAGTTTAAAACCAGATATAGAACACATTAGTCTGATAATTAACTACTATAAAGGATGAGCTTGGCTGACCTCTGAAGACTGAAACAGGCTGCCCAGAAAAGCTGTGGATGCCCCATCTCTGGAGGCAAAGCTGGATGGGGCCCTGGGCAGCCTGATACAGTGGTGGTAACCAGCCCACAGCGGGGGTTGGAACTGGATGGGCTTTAATGTCCCTTCCAACCCAAGCAATTCTTTAGTACAGAAAGTAGCTTTATATGACTCGGAATGACAGCCTGAATTTCCCTAATATATCCTTCAAAAAATCCCAAGAGAAAATTCTCAGAGTAGCAGAAGGCTGCTCCAACTTAATCACATCTTTCACCCTCAACAAAAAACTGCATTTGCTCTATGCTAAAAAAATAAAAAGAAATTCACAACTAACGCCAGCTGAATGTTTGCTGTGGTACCCAGCAGTCAGTTCATCCAACATGGATGTGATGCTCTGCCCAAAGTGATACTACACTATCTTCCTTTATAGAGTTTCCCATCAGCCATCACATCTGTGATCACCTATTGTGGTACATAATCCATGGACTCTGTATGTTATGCTTTCCAATTAATCTACTGACAGAATTATTATTTCCATCTAGCTTTTTCAAGAGAAAAGTTTACGATTTCGCTTTATTACTGCAGCCACCGATTCTGTTCAAGTGTCATTGTCACACCTGAGAGCAGAGTTGTGCTGACATTAAATAGATATTATATGGCAAAGATCTGAAAGGAAGAGCAGAAGGAAAAAAAGAAAATCAAGGACATTGGTACTGCCTTCCCCTCTCTGCCGAAGTAGTTTCAGAAGTACAATGGGTAGGGATTCAAGCACTTTTTATCTACAGCTTTCTTCAAATGAAATCCCTACCCAACTGATATTTCACTCCTTAATTTGTAGTGCAGTTTAGCATGAACAGTGAAAATAGTATAAGTTCAATGTAAGTGCACAGCATTTCTTACTCAAGCCATTTAGCATACAATAAGTAGAACAACTGCAGCAAGGCTTAATCTACAGAAGACTAAACACATCATAAACAGCTAATTATGTGAGACACTACAGGAAAGTCCTTGTACATTAGCATTCCTTCTGTAGTATGGAATATTGAAATTGTGGTTCAGCAATTCCTCCTAGACATAGCAGTTTCATTAAATATCAAGCATTACATTCAAACCAACCACTGAATATATCGTACAGCACTTCCTAAACATGGTCAACCTAGAACACATTTGAACTATAAGACGTACTGTTTTATGCATTCTGGGATGCCAACGTATTCCATGGGGATGAGTTCAGCTAGTTCTGCCAGAGTAAAGACATACCTAATTTTCTGGCTGAATTTTGAGCTGTGGAAGAACAAATGCAGGGTACAGTTACAACTTAGAAAGTATTCATTAGATCAATATTTAAACAGTCAAACATTTAAACTTTTAAAAAGAATAATAGCATCCATATTATTACCTAATAAAAGGTTTTGTGATGGCCAGAAGCGTTCTGATGAACCAAGAAGGATGAACTATGATTAATGACTTCAGATTTTTCCTTAACCTGAAGGATGCAAACATTGAACATGATTATTGGAGCAAAAAGTAACATGACAAAAAGCTTCTTAAAATATATATATGTATACACACACACACACACACACACACACACACACACACACACACACACACTTTTGCAATTACAACTTTGTTATTTAGATCTAGCACTCTGATATCCCATTACTTGAAATTACCAACTGCCCTAAGAAAACACTAGAAAAATACCTAGTCAGAATTAAAAGGCTACCATCATTTTAACAACCAAAGTTACAGTATTTTTTTTAAACACATTTGCAATGAAATTGTCAAGGGACCCACCTTATTATATTAGCATATGAATGTTTAACAAAGTACTAAACTGTAGCAGTACCCACCATTCTAATGCTACGTTTTCACTTATAAAAACAAAATTAAAGAAAAAAAAAAAAAAAAAAAAAAATCAAACATATCCATACCATTATTCTACACCAACAAGATGTCAGAAGAGATTTTCAATACAACAAACAATATGCTTCACGATTACAGCTTAATGATTAGCAGACACCTCATTAAACAGCACTGAACACAAACACTGGGAGAAAACACTACAGAACTTCTTACCGTCTGTCAATTTGCTGGTAACACTTCCTAAGCCAGCCTATGCTTGGCATTTTTCTCCGTGTTGTTGCACCATTCAGGTACACTATCATATAATTCTCTGCTACTAGTAGCTCTAAAGTGCCAATTACATACCTGCAAACACAGGGAAAGAAAATGCTCAAGTGAACATTTGTGGATATTGAAGTAGTTCCTAGTACTGCCCAAATATGCCCAAAAAGGAGAAGCTGACAACAGTGTTAAGCAACATCCAGTCACTTTTTTCCCCTGAAATTAGACACAGTTGCTGTATTGTTTTACCCTTCCCTCATCTAAAAGAAAAAGCTTCACACAAAAAAAAGACATTATTAAGTTTTACAATATGAAGCCAAGGTAGTGTTCAAAGGCAGGTGATGACTTACTTAAATAGATTGTCCATTAGGTATCTGTAGTTAGGCTGGCTGCTTTCAGGCATAAAACAAACAGCAAACACAACGATGGCATTTAACCCATCACCATAATAACCTACAAAGAAAAAGGCAGCAGTAGTGACTACAGTGATTATATCTTCACCACTTTCACTCAGAGAAAAGTCATGAATGTACAGCAAGTTTTTCCATTATTTCCCTTAAAGAGCTTTGCAAACACCAATGGTATATAAATGGACAAGCACACACGCACACTATACATCACCTATCACCAGACTGATCTTCTGGAACCACTTGGATGGAAGAGGTAAGAACATGTGTCAGTCTGTTTCCAAAAACATTTTGCTTATAATTATTAAATATATACATATTTTTTAAAGTTAATCTACTTTTAGGGAAATAATGGAAACAGATGCAATCAAAGTGCTGTACCTGTACTCCACATCTCAGTACATTTAATGTTTTTGATGGCCAACTTTTTTTCCTACCTGAACTTCATAGACTGTTAAGCTAGAGTCAGTAAATTGATTTTTGCCTGAGCAAACTAAAGCTATTTCTTTCAACACTCTTAAAACCAAAAAAAATTTATATCATAACAATGAACTGTATAATTTCTAAGCACATTACGAATGGTCATGTTAGGAGCTGAACACAAATACGTTCTGCAATTTTAGATTAAAATGCAAGAAGTATCAAACTAAGCACATGCTTTACACTACAACAAAGCACAGCATCACTGAGTCTTTCTATTTTTGCTGTATCACTGCATCTCAGCTTCTAGTAGTAGTTTCAACAGATCCCCTCAGTGCATCACTAATTCTTACCACCATGACTGATAACTTTTTTATACGGTTCGATTGCCTTCATGTCCACCCTATGGTCCTGTTCGCCAATCCTAAACATACGCCAGCGTCGACCATCCTCTTTCTCCTCTGCTGCTGTATATTCAGTAAGTGATCCTTTTCTAATTACATCAGTAGTTTTTGGCTTTGGAAGATCATCTGCCGAAGTTAAAACATGTTCAATATCCATTATGAATACTGCATACAGTGATGGCCAATTATAACACAGGTTAACCATTTTGCTATCCAATTTAAGTCAGTCAATACGTTTGGCTGAAGGATATCAGTTCCCTCAGTCAAGACAGAAGACCATCTCATCAACATCAAACTTTTATCAAACTACTGTTAGCTTTGTTTGCCATGAACTGCAGTTTTATATTTGAAAGCGCATGCAAGGTTCTGATTAGGTAAGAAGCCTACTAACAGGAAGCATTCAGTACACTGACCTGAATGGATGTCACCAAAATAGGCAAAGTGGTTAACTCTGTGATAATCATACAGGTTACTTGATCACAGATTTACATGGAAGCATAATTTAAAATATTAACACTATCTTGCAAGCAGACATGCAGGCATTCTATTAGAAATTAAATCTAATTTGTGTGTGCGCACAATCACTATACGAAATTTATGCTGACAGCAATCTGTCAAAAAAAATTTGCTCCAATTAAATAAATGATTCTTGACTTCGTTGCATAGACCTTACCCAAAGCGAGAAAAACCTACTGCAAGTTAGTTGTCTGTTCCCAAGACAAAGCTGTTAACTGAAACTATCCTTCCAGGAAAATGAAGGCAGCAGCATTAAAGGAAGAAAAGACAGAAACCCTTTTCAGCCACTTTTGAAAAACAAGGCACAAATATCTGGAACATTTCCTTAGCAGCACTGCAAAGCTAACCCCAAACACCAGCTCTTCTTCTCTAGAGTTCTCAAACAGACTCGTTTCTACAGGTAAGCCCAGAGCCTCTGTTACCAAATCTTGACCTGCAATGTCTTAGGTATTAAAAACCCTTGCTTTAAAGAACGTTTTCCGTCCATTTATAAGCTACCCTGGAATGAATAACAGATTTTTTTCATATGTAACAATGAAAAGAACTTCCTGTTTTCTCAGGATTTTTTTTTATTATTTGCAGCACAAAACAAGTAATAGTCAAGGTCACGTATCTATAATTTCAGATACATTTTTAAGTAGTATGTTTATAGAAGTTTAACTCCAACTGTTTGACCAAAGTAACAGTCCTTAGCTTACATTAAAAGGGCCCTAATCATAATTAAGCTGCAAGTTTGAAACTTGTGCTCTAACTCCTACACAGAAATTTGTTATTTCCAACAAAACTAGATTCAACAGATTTTGCCTGTAAAAATATTATTAACAATCTACTCATTTCATAAGGATCATTTCTGTAGCACTTCTACCGTGGCTATAGGTAAGTTAACTTCAAACATATTTCAAGTTGACAGAAAATACAGGTTTTTCTACTATTTCCAGCCAATACAGAAAGTTTGCAAAGTCTGAAGAGTTCTGACCTTTTCTCAGTTTCATTTCAGCAGTAAATGAGTCAGGTGTTACTCATTTTTTAAGAACATCATTTAGATCTCTTTAAATACAAAGGCTTACAATTCACAAAGTCCTGATACGCTAATGTGCAACCTGCTAATATTCACGTTGCTTACCTCTATACAGAATGGAATTATAACACATGTAAAGCGTGTGTTTGTACCAAGGATTTGCATTCACTTTACTTTATTGGAGTTAATAGCTATTATGTTTGTTTGTTATTAGTCAGTCAGCATATGATTTGCTTTTTAAAAATTGTCTCTATCTAATGACTTGCATGAGAAAAGAAATTACGAGTCACAGTTCTTTCCCACCTGAAGAATAAGAAAACATCCTGTGGCAACATACAAGAGCTACAAAACACTTACCTTCCCATTCAAACTCATTGCTATTCTCTGAAGGAGTATCTAAGTCATCCAAATCAATGTCTCCGCTCTCATCCAAGTCAGACAAAACAGACTCCTCGCTGCGATCTAAATTTAAGCTAATATCTGGAGCTGTAAGTTTCTTCCTCACTTTGGTTCCATTAACTGCTGCATTTAAAAAAGCAAATTTGTTTTCAAAGCTGAAGTGAGTTTAGACGAGCACAGTAACAAGACAACTGCACTTCTCCAGAGTACACAGTAAGTTAACGCCCACCATTTAAACAATGCATCCCTACATCAGGAATTAAAATATACATGGTAAAAAGAACACAACTTGGGAGACTAAAGTTCAAGTCCTTAAAACGTTACATTTACCCAACTGCATATATACTAAGGTCAGAGGGAGATCACCTTACTATTAATAAAAGAAATATGTGAAGTGCCTCCTCCACTAGTATTGCAGACAGTGCAATGCTTTTGTATTCCTTGTTTTTGTCAGGAATAAATAACATCACAGCTGTCTTTGAAAGAAGCAATATACAAGGAAAAAAAAAAACCAAACAAACAGACAAAGCTAAAAGACAATACTATGAGCAGATTAAGGAAAGTGTTAGGCAAATACACAACGTGCTCTTACACAAGGCAAACATTTGCGTGACTTAGGCAGCAGCTGAAAGCAGCAAATAAAGATATTGATCCAGTACTGGAATTATCCAAGATAAAGCAGACAGACAAGATCCAAAACAGTTGTGTTTGTTTTTCTTATCTTTTGGACTGCCAAAAACCTTCAAAGGCCTGAAATAGGGAGTTAGACTAAGGGAGGCCCGACCTGATGCAGAACAGAAATCAACGAACCAAGATTTTAAGATCAGTGATGAAATGAGTGTTATTTATGTTCATTATTACTCAGATCCCTCTGTTCACATATGAATATGTCATTTAGAATGCTGATCCCTCAAGCCTCATCAACAACAAAAACAAAAAAAACAAACAAACACAAAACAGAGTTTTAGGACAGCCATTTATGTAGAAAACCATCAGCCCAACTACATTGAGATGTTCTTACCAGTTTCACCTTCTGTTCCTGCTGCAGCCAATATATCTGAGTCAACAGGATCATCCTCTGGTAGGGGCCTGACATACAAAATAGTCTTTAATAGTAGCTTCCACTAAAAACACACTGTGGGTTGTATTGATCCAAATGCACATGCTATCTAAATTCAAGCTGGCAGTAAACAACACAGCAGGAATTTCCCTTGTAGCATTCACATTATGAAATGCCAAAGTACTAGTTGCCACTGGTATCATCTTTAGGAAAACTTACTGTATTCTTGCTTGATAAAGTTTAATATTAAATACATCACATAAACAGTACTCTTTTTTTTTTTTATAGAACAGAACATATACGAAGCCAACTTTTTTTTTTTTTTTTTTTAATTTCTTTGTAGGTCTGAGCATCACAGTACTCTTACATGCTAGCAGTTTTGCTCAGAAGCATTGCTTATTGCAGTACTCAGGCCCTCAGTCATTGGTGATTATAAGCAAACAGTCAGAAAAAGTTAATTTAACACTTGAAGAAAACAAAGCTGAACTTACACTTTCATACTGGTAACATCAGAAATTTCAGTATGGGCATTCTTATATTACTTGCACACTAACATAAAGCTATCCCTTTCCAGACCACAAAGAAACAAGGCACAAAAGCCTCTCAAGATCACTATGTTAGTGGAAATCACTGCAAGACTGAGTATTAGTTTATCAGGAAAATAGGGACAGATTGTTTTGGATGTTATGTATTTGATGTTTATTTACAAAAAGTTTAAAACCTTGGAAAATCTTCATCTTGCCATTCTTCCTTAAACTCAACACCTTCCATTCTCCAGCCAACTTGAGTTGTTAATAGTTACTCCTGATCAGCCAGAACCCCTTGTCTTCTGGACTGCAGGCTAAACAGCAGCTACAGGAACATAAAAAGATATAGTTCAATATTGCAACAACGCATCCTATCACTTACCACCAAGTTGAGACATTGTGTGGAAAAAACAGGGAACAGTTAACAGTTCATCCCCTCCCACCACAGCCCATCCTCACACTTTTTCTTTTTTTCCAAATGCAAAACTACTTGTAATAAACTGCTTATAATAACATAACTGTCATAATAATTTAGGTTGGAAGGGATCTCTTGAAATCATCTAATCCAGCACTCTGCTCAAGCAGAAGCAATCTTTAAGTTATAACGAAAGCTCAGAGTAACCTGATCTTTCATTTGGGATTACACCATTTCACTCCACACTGTATGAAGAAACAAAACCTGCCAACTCTCTAAATTATATGAGAGATACCGAATAAAGGTGTACTCTGGGGAAAACAAGCAAACAAACCAGATGGTCAGGTCTAAAATACAACTCAGCTCTTAAACAAACAAAAAACACTTCAACAAAAAGAGCACTCACCCAGAGATGTGCAAGTCGATCTGTGGTTTTTTCAGGCTCACCCATCACCAGCAACAGGGCATCCCCAACAACAGAACATAATAAACCATTCTGCTATGATACAAATCCAATCCAGTTGAAAATCTTGGCTGTGTTGGCTCTGAAGACTGACAGGAACAGGTAAACTTAGCAGTGATAGGAAAAGCATGAAAACAGGAAATTGAATTGTATTTTTAAATGTAAAGAAGCAATTAAGGTAAAACCCAGTAAGTACAGAGTTGGAATACAATCACACTGCTAATCAAGCTAGAGAGACAGTTTATTCCTACATGGATAAAAAGAAACAAGTATGCTTACTATTCAGTAGAATCAACTACTATGGAAAATGTCAATTTCTCTTCTCCTGATCTGATAATAACCACAGACTGATTCTCAAAAGACCTGCAATGCTTAAGGCTATACTAAACAAGCTGCACAATATAAAAATTTAGAAGTATTTTGTTGTTAAAACTGTATTACCAGAAACAATTAAGCTTGAATTTGTCATTAGTGCTTTTTTTTTTACTGACTTTTCCTTCCTCCCACACCCAGGAAATAAACATAAAACTTCTAGAAGGTAACAACCTAACTCTTTAGCAGAAGCCTTTCCTTCTTTGAGTTGTTCATCCCCTGCAGCTCAGTTGTAGGCAACACGTGCCCACACAGGCTTCAATTCCCCAGTAAGAGTCCTCCCAGCGCTCCTCTTCCTATCTGTCCACTTTGACTAGTGTGCTGTCTGGAATGCTTTCTTGCTGCTTGAATCATACCACCTTCCTCACAAAAATACGTCCTCTCTCATTACGATGTCAACACCCTTGGTATGAAGTTCTTCCTGCGTTCTAACCTGCTGAGTGTTTGCAATAATGAATTTAAAGAATTTGCTTGGGGATGAAGTTCTGTCCCCATCAGCAGGAACAATGAATTTGTACATAGCACTTGTCTTGAGACACTGAGATGAAGCACAAGAAGTGGCACAAGATATCCCACATGCTCAAATGAAGAGAACATGACGGTTACAGTCAGCATGGAATGAATTATCTGATACAAAGACACAGCTCCCTAAAAACAGAATAAACCTAAAAGAAAATCTCAACTGGTTATTCTCCATTCTTAAGGGCAGATAAAGAAAGGAAGACAGCAAAAGAAAAGACAGCAACCAACTCAGTCACTGCACACGTGGCTGTAAGACACTGTGATCACACTGCTGTTCCCCCAAGACTTCAAAGCCGAGTTCTGCCCTAACAGCTTTATCACCACTCGTGACGAACGCTGAGCGCCAATTAACATCTGTTAATTTCAGATGTACCACGTTTCAGTGCGGAAACAATGCCTATCAGCATACAGGACAGGTGTGGGGTTTGGAAGTTATTAATGCTGTAACCAAGCTAAGATACTTTTAGAACACGCTTCCCACATCAACAGCTTCTCATAAAGGTAGATGTGAAAACCATCATCCATTAAATACTGCGCAGTATAACTGCAAACAATTTAAAAGGCAAGCTCCAAGTCCTACATCAGAAAAGCACAAGTACAGGCTACTTCACTTCCACATCCCACTCGAGATGCAGGTTAATGAGTTGCGGATGTTTTGACTTCAAGTTTCAGGAACAAAAGCACTGTCACTTGTCAATTGGAACAACGTAAGAAATACAGAAGGAAAGAAATTCAGTTTCAGGAAAGTTGAAGAAGTGCAGACTTCCAGGATGGCTGATGACCGATTCTATATCATCATACCAGTGCTTAGAAAGTAAGAATAAAGCTCTGCTCATACAAGCTAAAGCAGAGTTTAGGACTGTTTTCCTATGGCTGCTGTGGTAGTAGTGGCTTTTCTTTTTTACTGTGCCCAAGTCTTTGTAAATCAGCTGTAAATGAAACATGTAAATTTTAAACTTGAAAGTATAACACTAACAATGCAAGTCTTCACTAGTCACGTAGGAGAGAAGCAATTAATTTCTGACTGCTGCTAGCACTCCTCACAGCCAACTCATAGTTTCTCAGAACACAGATTTGTTTGCTATTACTCTCCATGTAATGTACAGAAATGGAATTAGAAGACTGGAAAATATATCAGGTCAGAAACTTCAACACAGAGAACACCTGGCTGCAGGACTGCCATGTGGTTCTGCTTTCTTCATGCAAACCCTGGACTTCAGTGACCAGCACTGCTGTTATACTTCTAAACAAGTCAGAGCACTACAAACAGGAAGAAGTACTGCAAGGCACCACATCACTGCAATCACTTCTCTGCTGCAGCTAATGAAAGGACCTGAGCGCAGACACACAGGTTAAACCCATGTAAATACTTAGCTGAGGTGTGTTACTGCTTGCACCAGAAGCCCAACATGGGTGTTCTCATCCCTTTCCTGGAAGGAGGGCTGGTTCTCAGCTCTCACCAACATGGCGCTGGCTTGGTTTGGGTACACGTATGATACAAGCACAGCATGGTTGAGAAGACCATTGAGCTGCCACTGTTTGATGTGGCTTACAGCTACACACATACTCTAAGACGTCCTGATTTTTAAAGGAAAAAAGACAACAGAATGGCTAAAATTTACTTTTGAAGAAGGCCTGTTGCATTTCGAGAGGCTTTATTATGGGGGGTTGGACTCGATGATCTCTGGAGGTCCCTTCCAACCCCTACAATTCTGTGATTATTTTACTTTTTAAACGTTTTCTTTCACCTTTGAATTCTCTGAAGAACACAAACAGAAGATAAGCATTTGTGTGACCACATCTATACATCCAATACAAAGACCCATCATATTTGATCCCTGATGAGGATATGAGGATTACAGCACTTGAAGTAGAATGAATACAGAGTGTACTCTGCAAGACTCCTGCAATGAGGAGTTCACTGCTGAGCTCCACCTGACACACACAGGGCGCAGCACACTGCTGCAGTCCCAGTGAGCCAAAAAATGGTACGCTGCTGTTTTCCTACATTTCACCTTCGCCATTTCATGAGAAAGATCAAATGGAATTCCACATTCCAGGCATTAAAGAGATGCCTCCAAGAGCAGTTTTTAATTTCAAAGCACGCCAGAAGAATACATATATATAATTTTCCTGCACACAGATTCATACTGCAAAGCTCCCTGTAATTTCTAAGTATTTCCATAACCCCACTGGCTCTGAGAACGAAGCCACACAAACACTTGAAAACATATCCCAGATACAAGGACAGACATCCAAGTCGTGTCACTTGCATGTCAGCACAAGGAGGCAAGGCACAGCCCTCTGCTAATAGCAGTCTTCGCTGCCTTTCCTCAGCAAACGGACAGAAATCACTCGGCAAAGCAAGAGAGCTGCAGGTTCGCCGGGAGCACTCAGCGCGGTGTAGCACGCTGCTGAACTCGCTCAGTGCCCACCTGTCAGACAGACGACAGCACTGGCACCCGACCGAAAAGCAAATGGAATTACTTGCTGAGAACCGACTTAACCAAACTCGCCAGCTATCATGCAGCTACACTTTACACGAACGGCTGACGGCTCAGAGGCCCAACTGCGACAGCTCTGCGCCGCTCACCGCTGCGGCTGTTCGGCAAAGCCCTACTGCTGCCCATCCCTCCAGCACCGCCGGGCACTGGAGGAGCAGCCCAGGCCCCGCAGCCACACGCAGCCACCCGGCCCGCGCCGCTCCGGCCGCCTCTCGCTACAGAAAACGCCATCCGAACCCGCCACACACACCACACCACACCGCACCGCCCCGCCCCGCTCCCAGCGCCGCAGCTCGGGGAACCGCGCCCCGCGACGCAACGCTCCCGGCCAGGCCCCACCAGGCTGACCCCGCTGGCGGCTCAGCCACGGCTCCACGTCTCGAGATCCCAACTCGCTGCCGCCTCCCCAGAACCCCCTCGGCCGTACCTGGCGGGAGTCGGACGTGACGATCCGGGCCAGGCCGCGGCGGACGCGGCCCGCACCGCCGCTCTGCCTTGCGCGCCGCCCCGCGCGGCCCCGGAAGCGCGCACTCCGCAAGCCTCACGTGACCACCGCGCCCTGCAATGATTGGAAAGCTCACGCACATACGCCAAAGCACGGCCGCCCGCCGCCCTCTTATAGCTGGCGCACGCGCACTTGCTGCTCGCACGCGGACGGCAATTGAGAGCGCGAGGCGCGCGGCTGGGCGGCGCCTGTCTGAGGGCTGTGGTGGGGCGGAGGTGGTGAGCAGTCCTTGTGAAACCAGGTGGTACCGTGCACCCATAGCAGGAGCTAGGGGAGCTACGCAGAGCCTGAGCTCACCGTCCTTCGGCAGCAGTAACGACAGAGGTTATCGCGGGGAGGAGATGGGAGAGCAGTGCCCGAGGTGCAGAATGCTGCCTGAGAAGCTGCTCTGTGAGTCCCGCCCCGCTGGAACACGGTGGGTTGGGACGCAGCAGCAGGAAGGCAGCGTTTGCACACACAGACTTCATGAAGCTGAGGGGCAAGATTCATTTTTTTAATCGGGAGCTCATTTCTGCAACAGTACATCTGCTGGAACGTGAGCGTATGTATTGCTGTGTGTGTGCCAACAAACTCAGCTGCACAGAACTGGCCCTATGCAGCAACATTGCTGCAGTCAGACTGTGACCAAACTGAATTCTTGCTTCTCGCAGCCAAAAGGCAAAGATGCACCAATGTCTGTTTGAGCCCAGGGTACAGCAGGAACCTGGGATAACGAGACACGTGTGTGGAAGAAGGGTAGGAAGAATAAAAAAGTGATTTAATGGTGCATGATGTGAATGGAGAAACCTACAGTGTAAGAATATAGTGCTAAAGAAGAATAGAGAGCAGAGACACTCACCCCCCCCCTCCAGCAAAGATGAAATCTAAGGAAATAAAGCAATTAAGGTAAATTTGTTAGAATATTTATAAGGAATTAGTATAATTCACAGCAAACAGCCTGAGGCCTGTAGGCATTATTGCAAAATAGGCTTATCAGGTAATATTTACAAGCACAAAGCAAGAGCGAGCTTAAATATAAGGAATTATGAAGCTACTGGCATGAGAAATACAATTAAACAGGAAGGGGAAACAGCAAAAGGAAAACGGTGTTTTGTTCTCCCAACTCTGTTGTCACCATTTAATTTTTTGTTTGTGGAGGTAACAGCCATGAAGGTGATAAAATAGCATTATTCCGTGCTTCAGGGCATTACATTTTCCTGGCTGCACACCAAATTTACCATTACTAGTGTACATATTTGGAGCAGCTCATGCCCATAGCATCCCGGTTTTTAATAGTGCAAATCTGATTACAGGAATTCTGTACACAGTTTGTAAGGTTCTTGCTCGGGTATTTAGGGCTGAGTGGATAGAGATCTCATTCTGCTGGTGAACAGCTGGAATTATTCCAGACGGAGCTGGGCTCAGCTGAGCTCTGAAAACGGAGGCTGTGTGACAACCTTCCTTATTCTTTATCGGACCTGTAATATGAAAAGGGCCACTATTACTTATTATGTCAAAAGGTTTAAAGTTAATGTTTTAACATGTTTCATACAAAATACTGTTGAGCTTTTCTAAATGATAATTTGGTTGCTGATAAACTCAAAACTGCCTTCAAATTGCTCAAATTGCCATTTGCAGGGCACCACCCAGCCAGCAGAGTTGTGCAATTTCCCATTTCTTACACGGGGTGGCACAACACGGCTGGAAATCTTTCCGGTGCTCTTGGGTAACCTAGAAAACAAGCAAACAAGGGGTCAGAGAGAACTACTCGCAGATGTTGAATAATTCTGTTTTTAAACATCAGACAGCTGCAAATATAAGCAGATTCTCACACGAAAACTTTACCAAAGAGAGCAGGCTTCTAAGAATAATACTCTGTCATTGTTAATTTTGTCTTCTATGTGGGAAAAATCAACTGCTACACAACTTCAAGTCTGAAATAATTCACAATTAACCTGTATATAGAAAATAATAATCTAAAACTACTAAACACAGAAACATTCACATTTTCATGGTCCTTTCATATTTTGCTTATTAGTAAAATGTCGTCTATTAATTCTAAAGTAAAAAAAACAAACCCTGTGTTACAAATGCCCTCTTTCAACTGATTCAGGCAACAGCTCAGGAATGCTGGAATTTAAAAAGTATTTGTTTGAAAGTCTGAGTTTGGATTTGGATGTAATTCCTCCCTGCCATTTTCCCTGTAAAGTGTAAAAACATTTTTTCTCCAACCTTTTCTTTTTCACTTTTGTCTTAGGCACCTGTGCTACACGATTACAAGAGCAACATATTATACAGTAATAATTCTCAGACATGTGGACAGGAACAAAGTAGTGTACAATATTCTGCTATTCCTGTGGTATTCCTGTAGGGTGCGTCATCATTTTATTTATAAAGCTGTGTGTACAATTGCAGTCTGTTATCACGCTGACGTAGCTAGCTAGTTGTGGTAGTTCTATCCTCTCTGTATATCATGGGAAAAATACTGAGCAGAAAGTGATCCTGTCCTCATCATGGTCCTCCAATACTGCAATACAGTTTATCCCAAACCTCCTTCAGCTACTTCAGATAGAACCCACTGTGCTGTAGAGGACTCATTCTTCGTAATCAGAATTGCACTTCCCATTCCTGCTGTTTTGCCCTTTCTTATGTCTCAGCAAGTACCTTGTTGATTAGCAGCCAAGATAGAAACTGGATCTAGGTGAACATTTGGTGTTTGTAATTCAGCTAGGGAAGTACAACAGTATAAAGAATGTGCAACTTTCGTAACAGCCAAGCCAAACCCCAGACCATTTTGAAGATATAACTATTATCTTTACTTAAATTGAATCTGTTCATTTGTGTGTGATTCAGGTTTTTTAACATATTATTCATATCAAAGAGCATCACAGTTTGTTGGACACAAACATTAATACCACAGTGGGAGTGGATAATGGTCATGTTGTTCACAGAAGTCACCGATATTCTTTGTTAGTATTTAAATAAGCTTTCTGTATCTGCAAATGGGCCATACCAGATACATTGCTATCCATACTGTATTTGCTAACTACTGTGTCCTCAGAGAATAGTAATTCTCAGTTGAAAATGGAAGGACTTATCAACTACAGGAATAATGTGGAAGAATAAAAGCAGTAAATCTCTTGCATCTGTCTTCTTGATAAAAATACCATTAAACAGTTCTAGTGCACCCTATAGTGTGTATGTATATATATATATATATACTTCAGTATACAGTTCAGTATAAGTGGAGGAAAGCGTGGCAGTCTCCTGTTAACTTACATTTTGCTATCTGTGCTGGAACATCTCCCTATCTTAGGGGGAAAAAAAAAAGCACTACAAACAGGTACAGATAACTGCTGTTTGCTGAGTTTATTTTCTGCACATGTATTTTTGGCCTGGTATACATTTTTATCTTATTGTGCCTTATAAAAATGTACTCTCTGCCATTTGCAGTACCAGTCTAATGTCTGCCATCATAATGTGCTAATAACACATTTTCTGTCATATTGTTGTCAGAACCCAGTATCAAATGTGGATGAGCCACACTAGCAAAACATTTCTGTGTAACCAGAAATGTGCAGCTCCCTTAATTTAAAACTGTTGAGTTTTTCCTTTGCTTTTCTGATGGTCAGGCTGTTATTCCTACTTGC